TTCAGTATTATTGTCTTGTAGCTGACTACAAATTATTAAAATAGTTTTCTTGTCATTAAGTGGAAAGTCAGACTCATTTCTTGGTAGCTACGATTAACATGCAGTGAAGCTCGGGGCCCAGAGATTGAGAGGTCCTTCAGGATAAAGAGGATAGGGATGCTCGTTGACGAGAAATCGGGGAAAAAATACCCTAATATAAATACAAAGACGATTCAGAAGTTAGTTTGATTTAGTTTACGGCACCTATTTAACGGTTTGACTGAATTCACAACGCATCAGCTACACGATGTACCTATTCCGTTAGTATATGCCTATTCCGCCTATAATCCGCTAAATCGGAAATCTCTAATACAGACTTAAATATAAATGACAGCAATCTAGTATTTTGAGTTAATGGGGGAGGTACAGGGATATATGAAAATGAATATTAGTCTTGAAATCTCAGAAATTATGCTATTTCCACATTTTGAGAAAATCTGACCAAGTGGGTAGAAATTGGGAGGATGGGAGGGGAGGATGGGAGGGGAGGATGGGAGGGGAGGATGGGAGGGGAGGATGGGAGGGAGGGATGAGAGAGAGGAAGGGTGTTTGCTGGCTGTCTTCTATAGACCCACACCTGAATTAACACTCAGCATTTGAAATTTAGTGTCATGTGGCTAATTGAAAGTTTATTTTTTGTGGGATAAGGGACGGATGGGTGGAAAAGGAGTAATGTAGCAAATCTTAAAATTTTTTAAATTCTGTTTCAATGGCCCAATTAACTAAATCAAACATACACCAAGCAATTACTTAGGCAATGGACTATTTGCAGTCAAAGGCTGTACTGATTTTGTATCTGATATACGATATTATTATATAGACATAGATGAAATACCAGGTTTTCTCTAGTGTCGAAAACTTGATATCTTTCACCAGTGGAAGATACCATATCTTTCACACTTGAAGATAACGCTGTTGACATAGTAACGTATTTTAATAAAGAATTTTTGAGCTTTTGTTTTATTTAAGTTTCATAGATAATATCTACATAATAAACAGAACATTACATTGCCGCTTGGAGATACAAATTTTATCTTCACGTGTTCAATTTAGATCTCACCCGTTCGCTGCGCTCACTCATGAGATATCAATTGAACACTCGAAGATAAAATTCGTATCTCCTCGCGCCCATGTAATATCCTCTATATATACAATGATATAAACACATACCAGTTTTTGGGCTACATTACAGTAATGTGTAAATGATTGGGAAAGAGTCATAAAACAAATGTGAAATCCACCTGAAGGGAAAGAAAAAAAACACAAAACAAAATATTAATGGACAAAGCAGACTGCGGAAGTGAAGTAAATTTATTTACTCTTCCTGTTCTCTTTTTCAATAGGGTTGTATCGTCGTGTACGGGAATTGTCAGGGGAATTCTATTCAAATTCAAATTTCAAGTAATCGGCTAGTAATCGTACCCTACGATAGCATAAATTAAACTATAATAAATATTTATGTGCACGCGCTGATGATACATCATTTAAATATGACTAAAAAATGAGACCACCCAACCGAATTCGCTTCGTGGTCTAGTGGTTAGGTTTGGGGTTAGGGTTGGGGTTGGCATTGTAGTAGTTCTTTGGTGCCAAAGGTACCGAGTTCGATTCTTGGTGTCTTCACTTAATTTTTTTTCTAAATGAGGAGAACCAAAATTTCTAAGTCCCACTCGTGTGTTCGGAAACCTATGACGTACTTCGTTAATCTGTACACGACGATAATACCTTCAATAGGTCACTTGCATTATGGTGTCACTTACCACTGACAAAATCCATTCAAGTACACTTTCTTTTGTTCAGTTCAAATTAGCAGCTATTCACTTACTATTCTCATGAGGGAATACACATTCAAATACAAATTTGAAAAAGAAAGAAAATCGCCAAGCATTGGGGTACGTGGTGGTAGTAAAATGATGCTATCATGCAAATGACCTATTTAAACTCTGAATTGTAACAATCAATCAGTCAATACCTTTAGCGTAGAGAGACAGAAAATGGTTCACAAGAAAACTGCCATCATTTTGAGAATCAGACAGCAATATAAATTTTCCCTGGAAAAACATATTAAAAAGTTTTTTTAAGTTTGCAAGTTCGAAGTCACTGCATAAATTATACATTTGGATCTAACTCAATCTTTTTTCAACAAATGTGATAAATACGATATGTTTATATTCACTGTATCTAAGAATAACGCTTAAGGTTCATCCATCAGGTTCTAACTATAGTAAATTAAATTCAGATTGAAAAATGCTTCAAAGAAACTTATTGTGCGGGTGGGGAGGCATGAATTTTTTTCTATTGCACGGTAGAATCAGGGGAAATGGGGTTGGGGAATGCATGGAGGAATATGATTCATGGTGGAGTTCAGGGACCGATCAACATAAACAGGTCCCTTATTAAATACTAAATCTCTAACTTGAACTCAAAAGTATGACTAGTCCAGAGGCTCTACCCTTTCCTTCGCCACTCTGCTTTTGTTTTTGGGCTTCCTGTGTCGCTGGGACAAAATTGGAGCAGCAAAGGAGAGGGTACATCATCTGGACTAAAGTATGACAGGCTAGGTATTAACACAAAAAATTAAGATTTTGCAGGGCTTAAAATAACCCCTGGTCATGTGACAACGAAACAATGGTTTAAAGTTGAGACTGAACTTGATTCTTTTATTCATCAAGTTCTACCTTGGCTTGAAACCATTGTTTCCTGACCAGTCAAGTGAATTCGGGATAAGTCTATTATGATGATAATGATGATGTGATATGATGATGATGATGATAATGAAATGGTGATGATGATGATGGTGGTGGTGATGATGTTCAACAGTGTTGTTCAACAGTGTCAGACTCATCCAGTTATTTATGAATCCAAATATCCTTTAAATACAATTAACTCCTAGGGAAGTTTCTAAAAGTTAAAGACATCTCTTTGACATTTATGCACCTATCAATGTCTTGCCCCAACGGGGGGACCCTGGGCATACGCGGGCTATTGACATAAGAACCTTGCCCATGACAGGGGCTGCTAGGCTTTTATTGACAATTTTTTTTCGTTTTCAGAGTAAAATCCTCAAAAACAGCATTTTTATATGGCCCTTAAGAGGGGCTCATTGACAATTTTTTTTTCAAAGATGTCAATAGCCCCAGGGTATGCCTGGGCTCCCTCCGTTGGGCCAATACATTGATAGGAGCATTATCCATACCTTTGGTGGCTTGTTCTCGTTAAAATCAACCAATGAACACACACTAGGAAACATCTTTTCCCAACAAATCCAATCAAATCCCAGTCAACTTTTTCTTGCTTATGTGGTCAGCGGACTTACTAGTACCAGTCTTTTGTTGCCATTATTGGACGAGTAAGACTGGGCAGATCAACAAAATGGAGGACGAAGAAGAAACTAAAGAGTTCAAAATATGGCTTGAAAAACTATGCGATTCCTTCTTCCGATTAACAGATACCCAAAAGAATATCACGATAGAGCAGTTAATAAAGCTTTGCGGGCCTGATCAGCTTCGGTTTTTATCGACGAAACTCGAAGTTCTTGTAAAAAGAGACTTTTTAAAATGCCTTCCTCTTGAATTGTGTTTCCATGTCTTAAAATGGATGGAGCCCAGTTTGTTGTGTCGCTGTTGTCTCGTCAGTAAAAAGTGGGAAAAAGTGATTTCAAATTGTCATCAGGTATGGCAGAAAGCTTGTGCATGCCTTGGTATGGATGTCAACGAACACGATGTTCCTAAAGAAACATGGAAAGATGTATATCTGAAAGCCATGCGTAAAATTCATAGTTTTAAAAAAGACAGTTCATACGAGACGACCATGTTACATGGACACACTGCTAGGGTGTTTGCACTGTGTTATAGAAATGGAATGCTTGCTACAGGTAGGGAATTTTGCACCATAATTATAAAGAATATTCATAGCTTTTTCTCACGCTGTCAACACTGATCATGTTTAACTTAGAGTAGTTTTCGCATGACTGTGGAAAGCTCAGTGCCATATAGGCTGGCTTACACTAGCAACGGAATCAGAAGCAGAGTTGGAGTCGTAAGAGAAGCTAACGATCTAGTGTGAACCAATAGTTGGAGCCAGAATTGGAAGCAGAAGGGTGAGGGAATCGGAATGGGAAGGATCAGAAAACCTTCTCTTCCAACTCAGATTCTGATTCTGATGCTTATAATCAAGTGTCAACCAAAGAATCGGAATCGGAAGTTGAACCATTCACAGCAGAAAACATGGCAGCAGCCTTGGACGAAAAACTGGTAACTATAGGAACAACGCTTGCATTGTTTTGATTAAGACTACCTTGTAGATCTTTAGCTTCTAGCACTTCCACTTCTGATTCCTCTTTTGATTCCACTTCCGATTTTGCTTCTGATGCCTACAACGTTAGTGTGAACCAGACTTAACCAGAGAGGTCTACTGATGATGCTATGATTGCAGGATCAGATGACCGATCAGTACGTCTGTGGGATCCACAAACAGGTCACTGTGAATACGTCCTATTAACACACACCTGTGCAGACATTAGCTTTGACATGGATAAAGTAGTTACTGCATCATTTGATAATACTATCGGTGTGTGGGACTGGAAGACTGGCCATAGGATACAGTGTTATCAGGGACATACTGGTGCAGGTAGGTGCATGTATTTTAGCCATTCTGAGATTGAGGAAAAAGTGGGTTCAGTTGGCACTTTATTTTAGGGCTGTTTTAGTGGACATATTTACAAGATGGCATATATTTTGTCCCCTAAAAGAGTCCCAAATTGCACTGAAATGCCAACTCAACACAGTTTTCTCCTCATCTTGGAATGGCTACATAATAGACTCTCTCAAAGTTACTTTGAATTGACCTCTTTCTTTTCTCCAAAACATGCTTTGTGCTTAGCACTTGTGCATCTCCATTATCAAACACATATATCTGCTTTCGATTCAGGTCTAAGTTAATGTTTTGTCTTTCTCTAGTGTTTTGTGTAGATTATTCTGATGAATTAGACATCATTGTAAGTGGCTCAGCTGATACAACAGTCAAAATATGGTCTATGTCTTCTGGTGGATGTCAGGTGACTAGATATGGACACTCTGATTGGGTCATTAAGGTAAATATAATAGCAAATGCCACAGGGAGCCCAAGCTCATTTGGTATATCATTATATAATTTACAGTAAATGTTTAATAAATATTAAGAGCTGAGCAGCGATCTGAGGCTTGCAAAAGAAAGGAAGGGGAAAAATATTGAATTTCCCAAAGATCTCTGAAACAAAATGCACTATATTTATCACATTGATATACTGTCTTATTCACACACATGAAAAAGACTAGGCTTTATAACTGTACAGACAGTTGTTTGCTGGTACAAGTCAATGGGTTTCATGGCAGCCATGTTGTGAGAAAAAAATGATGAAATTTCTCCTTTGGAAAAAAAATCTCTTTTCCTACAAATTATTGCACAAGAATAAGTGAGGAGATAAGAAGGCAAAAATGAAATTGGATTGGACTTGTTTTGCAAGAAGAAATATATAATGATTGTACATGTATAATGGTGATAGAATGGTAGCCAGAGGGGAAAAGATCAGTCAGGAGACCAAAAACAACCTGGAAAAGGACAGTTGAAGTGGAGAGAGAGGAAGCTGGGTGGAGTGATTGGAATTACACAAAAACAGTGGCAAAAGATAGTATGCTGGAATGGATAAAGAACGTTACATGACTGATAGCTCTGTGAGAACATGACTGCTATAAAACCTTCTATAAATATTTCATTGTAATTTGTTGGATTGTATTTCTGTTTAGGTTATTCTACATAGATCAAAAGTCAATTCTCCAACTCATAAAAGAGGAGAGTTTGTACTTCTTAGCATGGACAAGAAAACAATCAAGGTATGGTGAGGCTGGGCCTGGTTTTATGAAGAGTGATTAGTGCTAATCCAATGGATAAATCCTTATCTAGTGGATAAATCCTTATCTAGTGGATAAGTTGATGCTGTTGTACAATAAATTTATCCTCTGGGGAAGATTTATCCATTGGATAGCGCTATCTACCCTTTGTACAATGGGGCCTTTGCAGCTCAGTAATCACATGCTGATTAATTCGCTGAGAGCAAATGAATGAACATCTTGATTCCCATGGGTGAAATATACTGGTGAGCAAACAAACTTTCTACAACCTGTTTCGAGAGATTGTAATAAAACTTCATTTGGTAACACACTGGTTACACATCGTTTCATTCAGTTCTTTACAAGTAGCTAAAAAGAATCACCAATTTAAAATAAAATAAAAGATTTGGCTCACCAGTACAGGCACATGACTGTTGACTGCAAAGGGCCTATTGGGCCCTGATTCATCCTATGCAAGGGAATACAAAATTATTTTTAATCCAGATTTCAGACTTGTGTGACACTAGTTTTATCAGTTTTATCTCAATGGCTACTTCAAATTTTTATTGCTACTCAGAAACGACCTCTGGGCTAATGAAAGTCAGGGCATGGCTAACTCAAAAATTAAAATAATTGGAATCTAGGCTGTTTTAAAGGAAGTAAAACCATTCAAAGCAAGGGAGAGACCATACGAACTCTACTCACTTGTGATGTCTGGAATTGAACCCAAGACACTAGAGCTGAGGGGTGGTGAGTGCACTACCACTACCTCTCGCAATCCTCTTGATACTGCATATCCATAGGTTTTTCTAGGATCCTTAAGGAAACCAAGGAGTTTTAATAAAAAAGCCTCTCTAGGCCTTTCTGCTGACTTTATTTTTGTTTGTTTGTTTGTTTGTCCACAAAGATTTGGTCCCTTGATGCTACAATATCAACACCCCTTGTGACTCTAACAACACAGGGGGAAAATATTCATCTCCAACCAAAGATGCACTTTGATGGGAATTTTATTGTCTGTGCATCTGATTCTGGTATTCATTGTTGGAATTTTGAAACTCTTGAATTATCCAGGTAAGTCAAAAACTCTAGAATAACAAACTTTTATTTAGGATGTTATATGAGAGGGAGAAGGATTGATAAATTAGATACATCTCTGGCCTGTGAATGAGGTGGTGTCAACACTGTTGGCAGAGGAAACTAGTACATAGACTAGAGATTAAATAAGGGATCAAACACTAGGGCGAGGGCATTCTTAAAAACAAAGGCTGAGGCCGAGGGCACAGCTCGTGTGTTTGATTAGATTTAATAACCAGCCCCGATCCATGATTTAGGAACAATGGATTTGGATTTCATTTTGTTTTGATATGGTGTCCCCGGGACAGGTGTATATTTTTGAAATACATGTATAGACTTGTACCAGGACATTATTGAGGATAACAACCGCATTACACAATGGGGTTGGGGCATGGCTGGTTAGTAATAGAGATCGAGGAAGGAAGGAAGGAAGGAAGGGAGGGAGGAAGGAAGGAAGGGAGGAAGGAAGGAAGGGAGGAAGGAAGGAAGAAAGAAAGAAAGAAAGAAAGAAAGAAAGAAAATGACAGGAAACGAAATGAAATGGAAGTAAAAGGAAATAAAAAGGGAAATTAAATAAGGAAGATTTTTTCTGCTTTATAGATCTTTTGCATCTTCACCGTCCAAATGGCTCGTTGCTAAGGGGCAAATGTTTAGCCTTCTTCTGGACTCGACCAACCTTTATATTTTGAATAATCGCAGCGAACAGTGTATTGCATCGCGAGAACTACCGCCCTTTCGTCGTTCTGCGCGTGGATCGAACTTTACTTCTGGAGACCCTGTATGGCTGAACTGTCTCTGTGAAAATATTGAAAACAATATTCTATTCGCCACTAGTATGCCTGACCATAGCATCCTTGTATTAAGACTTAAAGACGCTACGTGACCTAATATTTACATTGAGGAAGTTCTATTTCCTCTGTATACTAAAGCCGTGTAAATGAAACGATAAAGATATAGACGACACAGGAAGTGTTTTTTAGAGGGGGGAGGGTACGGGCTATTTTGACAAAATAGTGCGCAAATTTCTATTTTTTTACGAGAATTTTCACCATAATTGCATCCCCTCCTCCCCCACTGTGGAGTAATTAATCTTGACATTACAATAGTTCGCGAATGAAATTTCACGATTAATTGCAACATAAGAGTAGAAGAATAAGAATAGCAACATGTTTAAATTTGATTTCGTTTTGATTAGTGTATTTTAATATATTAGTAATTTTTTAATTGAAAGAAATGGTCAAATAGCTTATTATAGAATCAATAAAAATGTCGAACAGTGAGGTAGTTATGTTTATATTTCATTTGGAAGTCCTTCGTGACTCCTTTTCTCTCTCGGCCGTTTTTTAATATACGTTTTTAAGGAATTGATAGGTTTGAAAACCATTCAATTATTCAAAGTATTTCGAATGAAATATAATATGCTCAAAATACAGATGTAAATCGCAGAAATAGTGAACGATTTGGAATTAAATGTATTCTTTGTTAAATTTCATTTTCTTGCAAGTAAACAAGAGTCCTTTGTCTCATACTGGTTTTAATCAGCGTGTTAGCAGTGCATGCAATTTATAAAGAAAAAAAAACTTCTCTATAACGTTTTTCGTATAAAATAATGCGAAAACAATTTCACTTAAATTCGATAATACTGACATTTCTTTCACAATAGAAATTTTCATTTCATAATATTTGCCTCCAATGGTTACTATATCGCGTATATGAACAGGTATTCGTTGCTAAGTTTATACATCTTTGGAGTCATAATTTAATAGTGTGGACTTGATGATGTCTATCGCTAATATGAGAATTAATCCTGCGCTGTTTTGAAATGCTTTGGAATTAACGATGTCTTTAGACATACTTATTGTGTACAAATTCTTGTATAGTTGGAAGTGATAGTTTTCTAATTTCTATATATTCATGTGCTCTTCTTCTTCTTCTTTTGCCCTTTCTTGTATTATTTTGGTCGTTTTATTATTATTTACGTTCAGGCATGACGTTCTTGCAGTTAATTGGATTTTTTTTGACTCTTTGAATGACAATGACATCTTCAATTAACTACCTAAACATCCAAGTATTAAATTATATCACACCTTTTATTAACTCACAAGACTTGTAAATCAGTCCTTGGTGGTAAGACAGAGATCTAATCCCGAAAGCTCTGTAATCCTTCTGTTAAAGATTGACATAAATACAAAGACTCACATCAGATATATAGACAGAATATTTTATCTTGGGATTTATTTAAACCAGCGCGTGTGTTTGGTCTTGGAGCTCGTATAATGTACATCAACAAAGCATATAAAATTCTTATTGCTACTCTGTTAGTGCTTCGATACGCTGTTGATGCAAAGGTTGAGGACCGAGAAAATACTGATAGTGCTAGTCATCTGTTTGATCCAATGGATTCAAATGGGGATCCTTCTGTAGTCAATCCGAGCAGGCCACAAATTGAAGACACACGACCTAGTGTTTTTGGAATGACTGCACGAGAGGCACTTCGCATCATCGACAAGATACGACTCGAAGATTCCGACTGCGAGAAGATGCTCGAGACTCGAAGCATGGAAGTCTTAAGGATCAAATATGAGAACACAGTGTACAACAGGCAAGCTGAAATAGCTATACGAACTGCAAATCTTGTTACAGACATTCTTCCTACAGGATCTACAAAGTCCCTGCCTGGACAACCATCCAAATCGGTTCTTCTAAGCAACAATGACATTTTGTACAGTATCGTAAGGAATAACGTGGAGAGCGATAGCCTGATCTTTGGATCGGCTGTCATCTTCAACAACTATCCAAATTTCGGAACTTGGTACGCCCCCTATGCTTACGGAAACCTTAACGATCCTTTCATCAAGGTCAAAGACCTGTCCACAACTTGGAGCTACTTACATGAACTGTTTGTCAACTTTGTTAAGGCCAAATCTCTTGGTCGACCTTTTCCTCAGCGTACGACGTATTTCTTCCCACGGTATAACAAGACCTCCGATAAACCACAAGTAAATTTGACTCACTTTTTCGTGGAGTCGCTTGATGGATTATGGACAAGGCCCTACTACGAGTGCACGACTTCAAGGGCTTGGCAAATCACTTACACTGCACCTATCATCGGGAACTGGACTAGTGGAGCAAAACCTTCATTCATGTAAGTGTTTACTAATATTGAATCCAATTTATCAGCGAATGAAGTTTGTTAATGGTATAATTATAAAATTTTGAATTGAACGAGGGCAAGATTTATAGTTAGGTGACTGAGAAAATGAAAGAACCTTGTTAATCCGGACATCGGAGGGGAACAAAGAAAGTGTCCGTATCACCAACAGAGGTGAGTGTTCGTAATGCGGGGTTTGATTTGATGTGGGCATTGTTTGTAGAGGAAGCCATTTGCAAGCCAGGCCAGTGCAGCACGCTTTGCTACACACTTCAAATTTTTTGCCGACTTTCATTTAGCCTTCATATCTATACTTTAATTTTGAATAAATATGACTAGGACTTTTTCCATAGAAGTGGCTTTTTTAAGGTTAATTATATAACGACCAGATGTTTTTTTCCCTTTGCTTTAAAGTTGTTTTCGGTACAATTTAGACTTTTGTCGGCCATTTTTAGGCAAATTAAATGACAGGTTAGGGGCGGCTCGTTAATCACTGTTCAATTAAGACTTTCCATTTTTTTTCATTATTTTTAACACTTTCTAACTTAAGTAAACTTTCCTGGTTTCAAATTATAACACGATTTTGAGCAATAGTTTTAGATACTTTTGTCGAAATAACGAGGATTTCTAGCAAATAACTTCAGGGAAAGTTTATAGTTACGGTTCATCCGAATTATTTTACTCAGTGTTTGGAGTTCAAACAGAACACAAGTTGTTATCATACTCAGTTAAATTCGTTTGGAGCGGTTTCTTTCGCGTCTTCGGTTGTGAATCACATGTCTCCAGATAAAATCAATGCATTTCCTAGCGATTTTTGTTGCGATGTTTTTGCGATTTTTTCCATAATAAATAATGGTAAAGAATGTACTTTTAAAGTTTTTTTCAGAATACCAAGATTTTCCTAGACGAATGTCTCTTTTGAAGGATGATACAAAAGATTTCATATTTCCGAAAATTGCCACAAAAATCGCAGCAAAAATCGCCAGTGTAGGGCTTCACAACAATTTCAAAATTGGTGGAGATTTTTCAGTGGAGTCCTTTTCTGTCTTTAGCTGTAGAACATTTAGCGGAAAAGTTTCGGCATTGTTTCAATGCATTGACTAATTACTCTTTATTTACGTTTTGGCGCCTTTGCCTACCATTTACATTGAGTGTGCAAACAGCAATATAGCTGACAAAATATTTATTTGCTTTAAATGCAAGGCGATAACAGAGTAAAAATGTCGTGGAAATATAGTTTATTCAGCTAGTTTTACCTTCGAGGCTGTGTACTTTGTCTTTAGCCTTCTGTGTGTCTGTCTTTTACGGGGTTTACCCGTCTTTTACGATATTTGTTCGTTACCGTGTACCTCTAGTTTTGTGTTTTGTGTCCAAATCAGAATTATGATTTTTATTAAATTGAGTGCCATCGAATACAATATACAATACTCCTCAATCCTTGCTAGACTATCTGATTTCAAAAGTTTAAAAGTGCTTTATTTATATAATGAACTATATATTCTCTCAATGATATTCTTGGGTCGCGTTCCTTGAGATTTGTTACATACCTAAATTTCCATGGAACATATTTATTAGCATATCAAGAGCTTTTCCCGATTTCCTTTATAGTTCATATTTAATATTAGAAACTGAAACAGCTAGAAATGAAAGGTTTACCGACTGTCCCATGAGTACTGGCAGCTGAAATTAAAACAATCGTATGTACGTACACTGTACTGAATAACAATCTTTTTTATTGCGTCTTTAGCAAAGGATTTAGCAATCCTATCATGAAAGACTTTAGTTGTACGAAAATTTATTTCATTACATAAAATAAACTGTAACTGACGTTTTTTAAATCGGTAATCTTTTCTGAGCCGTTTTTTATTGTTCTCTGTTCTATTTTTGCAAAGAACCTTTGTGTTCATGTGTACATAGATTGTTATAATTCTTTTAAAAGAAAAAACAAAGCTTCAGTCAAAAACAAGCAATAACGACAGTTGGTAATCCTACTGTATTTAAAAAAGATTAAAGTCAAAAATTATTGTCATTTATGTGAAACACAGACCACCAAAAGTTACCTAAAACTAGAATATGTGATCCGTTTTGCCCCGGCGCGGCTTGCCCTTTGACTTTCAGTCCATATTCATCTTGTTTTTAGTCATACAATTTATGGCAGGTTTCCCTAAACATGTTCAACTAAAGCGAAAACGAACCGCTACCGGCTTGTGCCTTGTGTTTTGTGCCTTTCCAGCACGTATATTTGCCAAAAAACACTTCTACCTAGAGAGCGTTTTCACGTGACGTCATAGCGGCCATCTTGGAGTACCAAAACAATACATTTTCTAACATTGGGGAATTGAACTCTTTTTATTTTTATGCAAAAACTGTGCAGAAAGTTTCTATTGTTTGGTACACTGATATGACAGCCTTGTCACGTGAGTGAAAACCCTCTATGTTTATAAGCAAGAAACTAAGGCTATACTGGACTGGGATACCTGAGCCGCTCTATCAAAGCTGGCCTTGCCTTCCGTCAACAAGTTATCACTTGATAAGAAACTAATACAAAAAGTCGCTCTGATATATTATCTGTTTTATACTATGTGTTGCATGTTGCTCTCTTGCTAGCTTTTTAATTGTTTTTTAAATTAATTTCCAGGGGGGTGACAACAATTGACATCGAGCTAACAAATGTGGACATCAACCAGTGTGACCGTGATTCAGGGGGTCCTTTTCAGTTTGAGGTGTTCATTGGTACACATCGATGTAAAAACTTCACAACTATGGTGAGATTGCACCCGGAGTTTTTAGTGAACATTAGCGTGCGCTGTCGGGCTGTAGAACAACCCTGAGAGTGCAAAGTACTAGGCAATTGAAGCAATATTGGTTTTACTTTCGCCAGCTCTATGGAACAGGTTCAATAGAGGTTATGCACCATCACGTGCCCATAATACAGCTTGGGCTGCCTGTGGTTAGATGGCAGATCATTAAAATCCCTTTTCTCTCGGGAATTGAATTCTTTTTTTTATGCAAAACGATTGTATTGATCCTGCCATCCAACATGGCTGCCGTCACGTGATGGCGAAAATCTTTATAGACGGATCGTCGATTACGGCCTCATTCTATGGCAAAACGAGGGACAATGATCTATCGAAACTACGTTTTAGTCATTGTTAATTTAGCCAATTAGAAGACCGGATTAAAGCTAACTTTTGTCGTTTGTTGACCGAAACCAAAAGTACCGCATGCCCTCAGAGGGACAAGTTTGCGCATGCGCAGGATCTACTGTCCCCTGGGGACGATTATGCTGGTTTTACGAATGACCTTGTCTTGCTAGCATCCCATGGTAATAATGATAGAATATTGGACATAATAGTCAACTTGGTGCCGATAACTAAATAAAACCGCGAACATCCTGTAACGACTCACCAAGATAGCGCGCCAATGACGTCAAACACAACACGATTAGTCCAATCAATTTGTAACTCATGTTGGCCGACTAAGAAAATGTCATAGTTATTTACCATTGTTTCTAGAGTTATAGTTTATTTTTCTTTTCCTGTAGTGTGTTCACACAAAAGGACTTGGATTCCAGGCCGGATCTTACAAATGTGTCTGTAGGCCTGGGTTCTATTTCCCGGTAAACTTTGCCCGCAAAAACTGGTTCAATGGATCGGAGGTAGAGAAGCTAGCACAGGATAATAGGAGTATTTACTATACGAATCCTGATTCCTTTGAATGTCTTCCTTGTCGGGAAGGCTGCGTGACGTGCGTCGACGATTCGCCGTGTGTCGTGACTTTAAACTGGCCATTGCGTTACGCCTTGACGAGCATCACCATTGTCGCTGTACTTATTGCATTAGGGACTGTTGGCGTTGTTATATTTTACAGAGAAATCAAGGTTAGTGAATACGGAATAAGCATTTATTAACATTTATTAAACATAATCTAGTGCATCAAAAATCTGTTTACAAAAAAAAACGTTTTACAACAACTACAAATTAAAATATAATAATAATAATAATGATGATGATGTGATGATGGTGATGATGATGATGATGATGATGATAACTGTGTGATGATGATCTTGATGTGATGCATGATGTTATAATGATGTTGATGATAATGTTGTTGATGGTGATGTATGATGATGATGATGTGATGTTGATGGTGATGTACGAAGAAGAAGATGATGATGATGAGGATGATGATGATGAGGATGTTGAGAATGAGCCCATCAAAATCAAAAATACTGCAATATTTGACCATGTTTGTCAAAGCTTGTATAATAACGATATGTTTGTCAATGATATGAAGCCTTGAAGTTATGACCCATAAACCTCATAGCACTTATGTACATAACTGCTGTGTGCAATAAATTACGAATATATATGTTTTCAGTTATTGTCGAGGAATAGATTTCAGGTGTGCACCAATGATTTTGTAGATAGTGACGAATAAAAAAATCCAGTACTGAGATTAAAGCTTAATTTACTTATCGTTCTGATGTGTTTTAAGGTCATCAAGTCAGCCAGTCCACAGTTTCTCTGCATCATTCTTCTTGGTTCAATATTAATGTATCTTGAGGTAAGATTTTGTTGACTCTTTGAGTTCATCCAGTAAACAAGTATCAAATCTGAAGTTATAAGAAAAGTACTATTTGATCACTCCTGGACAGGAAAGATTTACACGGACACCCAATCATCCAACTCCCTTCTCCCCATAGCCGTCCCAAACTATCAACGGTTTACAAAAGACCTAAAAAAGGAATAAATCGGTGAGGAACTGGTGACAGGTGAATGTGACAGTCGTATAGCGTGACTCTACAGGCGATTGTGTTACAGGAGTAGAAGTAGCAGATGGTAGTTATTTTGTTCCCTTAAGATGCCCCCACGATGCACTGAAATGGCAACTCCACCCAGCTTTCCTTAAGTATGGAATGGCTAATTTGCTTTTCTTTTCTTGTAGATTGTAGTCTTGTTCCCACAAGCCGAAGAACTGCTTTGCATCGTTCGTTTGTGGTTACGTCACTTGGGTTTTGGTTTGGCATACACGTCACTCCTTCTCAAGACGTGGAGGTAAATATGCACCTATTTCAAAAAACCTCCGTCTACTTTCCCACGTTCCCTTTCCGTCGTTGTGGTGGTCGGTTCGATTTTCTTATGATCCAATTCGATACAATATGCCAGCACTAAACCATTTTCTTTCCTCCTTGCACACCTCAAAATCGCGTGAAAAAACCTAGAGCGTCACTAGGCAACGGTAGGGTACACCATACAAGGTCCCAAATGTGTATTCTAAATAAAAGTACCACTGCATATAGATTTTTTTCAAAACTCGCATTTTGCTCATGTCACAGAATTGCTGTAATATTCCGAGTCAAGTCAGCTCAGAAAATAAGGTTGACTGATCGTCACTTACTGACTCGCCTCGCTCCCATACTGGCCGTGTACTTGGTTTATCTTCTGGCCTGGTCACTAGCAGCTTCCAACAGAGTCCTGGAGCACAAAGACACCCAGGATCGAAAATTCTACGAGTGCGCAGTGGATTGGTGGGATCACGCAATACTGATATGTAAGTTTCTGGATTACTGTATTTAGTTTCGTTCACAGCTTCGTTGCCAGGTTACATGCGCATGCGTAGAGTAAGAACAAAGGAGGTCTGAGGTCGAGAGTAGTCTTTTGGAGCGTAAGCTGATAAAAAGGATCCCCTATTTGCGTGATACAACTTTTTGTGTTGCAAGGACGACCTGCTGCCGGAGACACGCACATAAATCAAAGCGACAAAGATTCATTGTAATGACACACTGTACTGAGGTCGCAAACAAAATCACGCATGACTTTAGTGCGTTAGTGAAATTGCGTCCCATGGTTTAAAGCAAGAGTCATTATGTACTCGCAGAGGAAGGGAACGAGTGGAGATTTCGCGCCATTTCCTGTAATCTTCTCAAATTCCGCTGACCGCTATGCATCGTGATGCGCAAGAGAATTTTTCTTCTGGAATCAATCGTTAATATCCTTTTATCTCGTAGTCGAAGTTCTGTTCTTGTTGTGGGGTATTCGTCTATGTTACAACGTACGCAAGGCACCGTCAGCATTCAACGAAAGCAAGTTTATCAGTTGGTCCATTTACAACATGTTTGTCGTGACGTTCTTTCTTAAAATCGCAAGGTAAGCACACGTCACAGTTATTTGTGTTTTGTGTTTTTTTACTGTTTGGGTTTCCTGTGTGGTATTCTGAACCTGAGTTTGGGCTACCTGTGGTTTGAGTCTTAAATTCTTGAGTTTTTTGGAGGTTTCTATTACAATTTGCCATTTTTGATTGGCGAAAAGATCTAAACAGATAATTGATAAAAAGTAATTAATTAATTTGACATCTAATTTTTCCGTAAGAGTGAAGTCACTTTTAGAAGCACTTATCAGCCCCTCCTCCTCTTCCAATCCAATATTATTTCCAACACTCTCCCTACCCCTCCCTTCCTGAAACCAAGGGACTCACACCAATGTAAAAATTAACTTAATTCAAAATAATCCCCATCACAGGAAAAAGCAAATACTAATTAGTAAAAGTTGAAAATTCGATTGATATTTTACATAAAGAACTTAAAAACTTCGTCGGAAGGACGTACGTTTGGAGGGACACCATACATTTCTCTGTTACTTTTGCATTGTTTGAATGCTCATAGATTTGTTTCTATATAGCCAAACGCTCTGAAACTTAATCAATAAGCTTTTTGTAGGTACTCTTGCATCTAAAGGGGGTTATTATTTTTCTGGAACCATTTTTGTTTTCACGCTCGTACCCAGTCCCTTGCTTGATATAGCAGTCTTGAAAACAGTTGATAAGTAATAAAATCAAATAACTAGTTTAATAAATCATATGAATTAAAATAGCAGTTAATAAGAAATTCATGAGTAATATTCCTTTGATAATAATTAATGCTTAGTTTTTCATGGAATCCATTTTCTTCTGTGTCACTAGTTTTGCCTCATAAACTAACATGTTTCTATCAAATTAGTATTTTTCTTTTGACAACTTTATTTTTGATATGTGAGCGCTTCCAGCTTCCTTCTTGTTTCCTGTGATTGACAAGGGCGGTTCTTGACCTGCAATAGTATTTCCTTCCAACCCACTCCACCCGGCCCCACCTAAGTTACCACACCCAAAACCTTACTATTCCCAGACACCCAACCCCGACCTTACCATTGTTGTCTATACTGATTTTGTCGGCCACAATTGACAGTATAAACTTTGGATGGATGGATGAGACGAATAAATGGACGAGTAAATGGATGGATGGATGAGATGAATGAATGGACGAGTGAATGGATGGATGGATGGAACGAATGAATGGACAAGTGAATGGATGTATGGATGGGACGAATGCATGGACGAGTGAATGGATGTATGATGGGAAGAATGAATGGACGAGTGAATGTATGGATGGATGATTGGGATGAATGGACGAATGGATGGATCAATAAACAAATAGATGAATAAAGGATGGATAAATAAATGAACGTTTACTGAAATAATTGAACAAAATGAATAACTAAATAGATATTAAATAAATAAATAAATAAATAACGAACACAATGAAAAGAAAAGAAAATCGAGGGAAGTTGAAAGTTAAAATGTAACTTAAAACGATGCTAATATAGAAATCAGTTGTACCGTTATTGGAAATGAAAATAAATATACCTATCACTTATAACTACTCCGGATAAGCACACCGAACTCTGCATCAATAATAACATCCATTCAAAGCTGATACTCTATCAAGGGCGAAGGAAATCCGTTTCAAAAGGATGTCTCGTAAAAGCCGACCGGACGAACGTTTCCAATTCACTAATCTTGTCGAATCTTCCTCTCGTTCGAACCCGTACGACATCCTTAAATTCTTTATTTATTGACTTACGGTATTCTTTTATTCTCCCTCCATTTCAAACCACAATTCTGTGAAATACGAGAATATACTTTTGGGTCACCTAGCATTGAATAGATCAGAAACTAAGAGTAATATTCTGCAGTTTCTTGATGGCGGACTTCAAAAGACATATCCGTCAGATAAAAGAGGATTCATGCATTTTATGAAGACGTGCACTATCGATTTGTATCTAAATCAAGTCTAATTTCTGTCACCTGACGAGCTTATGAATATCAAAGTTGATAGTAGCATTATGTTTATCAACAACCGCAAAAATGAACCGATCGACGGCAACACTTTACTGATAAAAAACACACGAAAACGCTAATAATATCAGCATTTCAAAATACCTAATTTCAAAATCCGAATATCCTTTTTAAATAAACAATTGTATTTTTAGTTCATAACTTCAAAATTTTTTATTAGCTCTATTTTTATTTTTCGACATTTAAGGAGTATTTATGTTAGAATATTGAGATGTTTTGCAGCATTCAAGGTGCCCTTGTTTGACCTTCCCTCGTCTGTTTTCGTTTATCTCAGTCAGCCCAGAACAAACTCATCCTTTTGAACCCCTTAGGCTATATTTACACTAACTCAACTCTAAATTTAAATACGCTGTTTACCGTGTGACATCCGTAGTGACCCTGACCTTCGAGAAATCGTCCAAACCATCTACATCATGAGTTCGGCTTTCAAGGACTTTTAACTCGGCTTGAATAACTGATTCCTGTTTGCTTTCATCTAGCCATGTGTGAATGTGAATCCGATCAGAAGATTAAGCGCAAAGATAAATACAGTTTTCTAATTATTTTGTAATATTTTGAAGCGACACTAAAATTTTTCTCAGTCTTTCATTTTCAGTGGCGGGCTTTGGTTTTTAAAATCTTTGAGGATTCTTGCTGCGTTTGTTAGTTTTTTTCCCCTGAAGTAGCGGCCGAGAGAGTCATACTATTAAGCGAGATTAAATGGCCTATCGGAAATTATATATTGACTTAGGAATGCATATTTACATGTGGCCATTTCTGTAAAAAGCCCCGCTAGTATCATAGCAACAGACTCTAAAGGTTCAAGATGGAGAAGCAAAGCCAATAGTTGTTCATTCATATTTGATTCAATTGATTTTTTTCTTTGTCCCTTTGTTTCGCCTATGTATGCTACTAACCAATTGATCACGAAAGAAAAACATTACAATCTTCCCGAGCTGCCGTTCCAGAGTTCAAAACCAATAGAGAAAGACGATGCCCGAAAAGAGGGTTTAGGAGCAGTTTGATTCATACGTGACCCACTATTGCTCATGATTCATCATTATTCCTATTTTGTTCGGCCCGGCTCTTTTTAGTAGTTGTGGCTACTTGGCCAATCCTGTGATAAGGTTTCTTTTTCCCATTGATGATGACCTAAATTCCACTCTCAATATCCCATTTTTGATAAAATACCACAAGCTGATATTTCCCCCTTTCTCTACTTTCCTCCAAAATGAAGAAAGAAAAAAAAAAAGAAAAAAAGAAAAAAAAAAAAAAAAAAGAACACAGCAAAAACAACAAAGAAATTAGGATGAAGGTCATGTAGACTGAATGGGGAGGGGGGATGCCAATCCCATTTCCCAACCAAATTTTTTCATTACGAATCCCATATTAGTCCTTCAGAACCCCTAGAAAACGGTGTAGGAAAAATAGAGGTCCCCAGCGATAAAGCTCTTAATCCCACGAGTCAGGCTGCACCCTTAGGGCAAATTGAAAAAAAAGAAAGACTGGTCATCCTAAAGCCAACCTTGGGGCACAATGACTCCGTTCAATGGGCCATGAGAGAGAAAAACAGATAGGGTCAATCCTACTGTTTTCTCAAGGATTATTCTAAATCAGTGCTGCGCCCTTGAAAATTTTCCTTGTTTTGAAAGAGGCCATTTAAAAATAGCAGCTATATTCTATTTTAAGGCGCCATCCACTTTTACTTTATTTGCGTTTTCCTTATGTGTGGGCTTCCTGTGCGATGACTCATTTGTGAAATGAGAATTAACTTGAGTAAATAGAGAAAGATTTTAATTTTTAGGTAAATAACAATAGCTATGGTAGAAGCAACTGACGAGTAGTTTAGATATGATACGTGTAATCTATCATGCTGATCAGCACACTACGACTGAAATAGCAATATTAAATGTCATTCACGATAAAAGCACAAAGACAATTGTTTGTTTTGCTACAAATCACTCGAGCTCACCCACAAGCTAAACGTGTCGTAATTCGTTAATCGGGTCCGTCGCTTGCCCAACATTTCAGAATTACGATGTTAGTCCCTTCGTTCGGCGTATAAACCGCTCTCTGAAGTCAATCATCTTTTTTTTTTGTATGAAAGTCTTATCTCAAAGTTGACCGAGTTATGCTCTTCTGTTGTTAATGAGTTTCCTGAGCTGATGATGGTCAACTGTTTTACCAACAATATCATTCGAAAGTACTTCAAACTAGCACGTAAATACCCAGGTATTATGTTCGTAACAGTTGGTCTTAAAAAGCGAAAGCACGGAGTCATCACGAAACTGCCTCAAACGTCACCGAATCTTCACGTTTGTCATCGCTTTTTTAAAAAGATCAATAAAACCCGTGAGTAAATACAAGACAACTGTTCGAAAAGGGGTAATGAATTAAAGCTAGATACTAAATGAGGTATCTATGATATGATTTCTGACTAATGAAACCATGTTACTTGTGAATCAAGTATTTATGTGGGCTGAAGTAAAACCGGCTCATACATTGAATCCCAATTTAGGCTCGAATCACAATTTTACCATACAAGGCGAAGCGTGAGATTTTCTCGAGGGCTTCACACGTTTATCCGGTGAAACTTTTACGAACAGAGGACTTTGGAAGGTTGTTATCAAAACATTTAAATCGAAGCTGTGTGATTATATTTGACGTTCGATGGGAATCACCCCACGGAATCCCGTGACAAGGCTTCCGTGAAAGATGCTAACGTGACGGATGACGTCATCGGGTCACAACTAGTTCGTGATACCTGGACGCCATGCATGTACGAGTGGCTGTGACGTCAATGTTTCCTGACGGGATGTCTAGAATTGTGACTCTTTCGCAAGAGCTGCCAACGACATGCACGTATATAAAGACTGTGATGTCAAAGCAGACACATTATACGAATTCAGTTTCAATATACGAGAACAGGAGGCCGACCGACCAAGCCGGGAGTAAATTCAAACCAACACAAATTGGATTTGACAGAATTTAGGAGCCATTGGAAAAATCATATGTTTACCCCAAAGACAGTTAACGAGACCTGGAGCGATGGGAAAGGTAGGTAAGCGAGTTGAAAAAAAAAGTGTTGTCGTTGGTTTTAAGCTTTCACTTTTCGAAAGCCAATTTTGACACCAGCTGTTTTGAATGTGTAGCGAGAAAGACGAACCCAAGATCTTGAAGAATTCAAAATTATTTTCAAAATACTTCAAGTAAATATTCATTATGAATCGAAATGTAATACTAATTGTTCCGTACGCGTGTTCGTGCATATTTTGATCCATACGCCATTTCATTACGTTTAACCTCTTTTAGTCGTCATCAGTAGCTACACCCAACAAGCTCGGATCAAAGATCAAAGGCTTTTAGAAAATTTCAAAGATAAATGTTCCTTTATTCCTCTGTACTGTTTATTGTTACGTTTCACGTACGAAGTATTGGCTTTTAGTTCCTCCTCAATCCCCGGAAAATATAATAATTGAATTGTGAATTGAATCTAAAATACTCGTAAAATTGTTGATTTGGATGTGATCGTTGTAGCATATGTCATTGTAGTATAATCCGACAAGCCATCTTCAAAGTGTATGAATAATATTCAGTATGAGGCGACATGATGGGCGCAATGAAACCTAAAAATAGATCTCAATTGATCTATATGCTTGACGTCATATTTGTGGTTAATAATTAATCTAGACCCATGTATTCTTACCTCTGAGCTAGCCTCGCTTTACTCAAGAAAGCAAGACATCAGGCAGCTCACTCCAAAGACCATGTGTTTGACCATAGGTTTGACTCTATTTTTCTTTGTCATTTCATAGATGTTTGAATGCTTTAAAGCCAACATTATGGGATGTATACCATCTCGACAAAGATCGTCAGAGGGTTCTGTGACAGAAGATCCATCAGAAACACGTACAGGAGGCTCGTCAGAGGACTCCAAGAAAAATGCTAAGCCCAATCTAACTCCTACGGTTCAAATGGTCAACGACGAGACCCTTAGGTTACTACAGGAGATTGGCGAACTCAAAGTATTCAACACAGCGAACACGGACTGTAAGAAAAATTTAGTTGTACATCATGATATTATGTTGGCTCTAGAAAATCCAAAATCCTTTGGAAACGCTGCGAACTCACCGGCCGAACCAGCTACGGCCAATGTGAAATAACAAAGCCATTTGGTCTGTCGATTTTCAGTTTGGAAACCCTTTCAACGTTGTACATTTCGAAAAGTGCAGCCGAAAATTCATGCCGAAGAGATGGACAACTATATCAACTGCTATTTTCGAGCGCTCAGTTAAGCCAAACGCTTGACTCCTTCTCGAATCGATATTTCCCGAAGCTGGTTGGAGTGAGATGAATCGAATGGACCGAACGTAGGTCCGACTGCCAAAGATTGATTCCCGAAAAGAGGCCTAGACTGTCCTGATGGTTGGAGAAGATATTGTTTTATTTCTCCGCGGTTCGATCAAGGTTTTGCGGCCTTGTAATGGCGACCAAACAAATTCATCCGTGTAAATGCATTCGTGAGCCATCTATCAAGTGATCACTGTACATTTAGCGGTCGAACACGACTAAATACTGAATGGCATATGATAAATTAGACCAAAGTAAATAAGCAGAAAATGCTGGGAAAAATAGGAGAGAGAATATGAAGGTTTATTGTTGAAGGTGTGTGGGAATCGACGGCTTAAATCCTAAAGCTACGGGAATGAAGTTGACGTAAATGAATTGGCAAGCTGACTGACTGTGAAACGAGTACTTTATTATTTGACCATGTTCGTGTGGTTTAATAGTACGATATATTGACGACCACATCGCTGTTAAGCAATGAGAGAGAAAAGGACAGCGAAATTAATCGAATAAATCAAGAGGAAAAATATCCAGAAGTATGACTGGGCGACTTGAGCAAGATGTAAATAAGGCTTATGATGCATTCATAAATATTCAAATGTCATGTATGTTGTGGTGGCCACACGCTCTTTACATATGTAGCTTTACCAGCCTTCACACCAACATTGAAAGCGAAAAAAACCACTTTGAGCCGATAAAATATCGAAGGGAATAGCTATACTATCGTGGCTTCTCCTGAGGACTGGGAGTGTAGATAGATGAAAAGAATTCTGTCTATATTAAATTTCTCGAGCGAAGCACATTAATATCGTCCGTCCAATCCATCGAGTATCTATCTACCTTCATTTCACCAACATGGTATTTTTCTTTTTAGTTTCATGCTCTATACGAAGCAGAAAGAAGATAGAATGAAGGCAAATTTGGGTTTATAACGGCAGTGTAAATTTTTGGGGAGAAATGCTTTTTCAGCATTTCGTGTTTCTCGAGAAAATTAGAGTCAAAATGATGAATGACGTCATCAGAGCAGAACAATAATTTGCATCGCTAAAGGTTAACTGGTAGAAGATATTGAAAAACATTTACCTCTTGGCTACAAAATTTATAACTCTATTTATATACCATAAAGAAATAATGGCAAAAGACCCAAATTATTCTGTATATAGTAAGTATAGCACGCGTAGCAACCATAGCATTAAAAGGCATACTAATATAGTATAGAATATAAATATTATATATATATATATATGTAGTACTAGTTAGATATATGCACGTCTAGTCTACCGACTATTCCAAGTACTAATATTAGTCCTAGGTCTAATAATTCCTATGATTTATCCAATGCATAATGAAATAAAATCGACTATTTATTTATCATTCATGGATTGGTCTTTTGCTTAGTAACTCGTAATGGAAAGTTTTAATATGGCGCTATGCTGATTATTCCCGTTGAAGCCTGAAATAATTTTTTCAGATCTTTCTTCACAGCGTTCGCTTAGATCGCTCATTCACTTTGATGATCAACACATCTATCATGCTGATTATTATTATTAGTATGAGTGTAATAATAATAATAATTATTATTATTATTATATTTATATAATAATAGTTATTATTTTAAAATAATTTATCTTATGGAACATTACGACAACATTATTATTATTACCATTATTATTATTTTAATTTAAAGTCTGCAATTTAGGCCGGGAATCTTGCCAATTTTTTCACTCCATTCTAGCTATGCTATAATAAAAGCGATGCATTCAATTCACAGGTGGAAAATTCTGTTCACCGTATACATTTTTAATTTTTAATTTTTAAAACAGACTCTTTATCCGACATTTTTGAATCTCATACATTTTTGAATGTTATTTATTTCAAAAATCGTGACTTTTTACTTAAACGTTTGGATTAAAATGAGTGTTATTTTCTCCTATTTGATTGGACTCGTAAATAGCAACACATTATTTGCTACGTAGTTTCTTTAGTTTCCTGGTAGTCGTATCATGTTTTAGCAAGGGTTCTACCTAACTACCTTGGTATGATAGCATAATTCTAAATTCAACAGTCTTTTTATTGGCAAAGGAGGATTGGTCAATAATTATATCTTATTTGGGTTTTTTCCCGTAATACGGGCTGATATTTTACGAGTTGCGAATGTATTTTTCCGAGTCCCGTAGGGACGAGGAAAAATACGAGTAATGAGTAAAATATCAGCCCGTATTACGGGAAAAAAC